TGCAGTGGCATGATCATGGCTCACTGCATCCTCAAACTCCTGGGTTTAAGTGGATCCTCCCACTTCAGCTTCCCAAGTAGCTGCGATTACAGGTGTGCCCCATCATGCCAAGCTAATTTTTTTTAGTTTTTGCAGAGGGTGGTCTTGAACTCCTGGCCTCAAGTGATCCATCTGCCTCAGCCTCCCAAAGTGTTGGGATTAAGATGTGAGCTACCATTTCTGGCCTAGTGACTGACTGTCTTTTAAAGTACTTTTGATATTGGGCAGTGCTCCTGGCTACCCATAACGCATAAGTTCAACACTGAAGGCTTCAAAGTGGTTGACTTGCTCCCAAACTCAGTGTCTTGAATTCAGCCTTTAGATCAGGGAGGCCATAAGGACCTTTAAGGCCCATTACACACAGTACTCTATGGAAAGAATTGTTAACACTATGGAAGAGAACCCTGATAGAGAAAACATCATGAAAGTCTAGAAGGGTGACATTTTTGAAAATGCCATCATTGTTATAAAGTTGTGAATGACATCAAGCCTGGAAACACTAAATTCCTGCTGGAAAAAACTATGTCCAGATATGCATGACTTCACCAGATTTATGAAAGAGCCAATCAAGGAAATCATGAGTGTAACTGTGGTCATGGCAAATAAATAAATAAATAAATAAAAATAAAATAAAAAAAGGTGGCAGAGGGAGATGGATGGTTTCAAGATTTGCATCATAGAGAAATTCAAGAGCTAATCAAGGATCAACTGTATTTTGAACCTGAAGAAATGAGTATTTTCAGTGCCTATTTTCATCCGTTAGTATACTAAAAAGAAATGAATATGACAGCATCAATCAATATTGTTATCAATTTCCATTAAAATTAGAGTTTGGGTCATTGTTAATGAAATAATGTATTCTGTAAAAATATTTGAAGATAATTATAAATTTTTTCTCACTTATTTTCAGTGGCATTGTCCTTTTGTATTTTTTGGAGGGGTCATTGTCCGGGAAAACACTTTCTCCAAAGACGTAACATTTAATTATCTTGCATCCAAGATCCAAGATTAGTGAAGTTAAAATAAAACTGAAAAGAATCTAGTACCGAGTCAGTGACTCCTAAGGCAAGTATCTCAACTCGCAATCAAAGTGTAATGGATGCTATTATATTCAATACAATATTAATATAATGTTCACAAGTACCTGCATTGTACTTTGTATGATTGAAAGAGTGTATATTGTACTCTAATTTTCCTGTGGCAAAATGGTGTGTGAGCTGTGGCTATGGGTAGTTATGATACACGTGAACATCTCTTACCATAGTATTATTATAGAAGTTTAGATATGTGGTAAACATATATGTCAGAAACGATGTATCATGAAAGTATAATTAGTTCAATTAAATATTTTATCCTTCTTGTGTGCTTATAGCCTATTTTTCTTCATAAATCCTTCCACTTATTAAAGTGAACTGATTTCTTCAGGGATGTATTTAAAAATAAGGAAATAGTAATATGATATTTTAGTAATGTCTTTAAAAAAAAGATACTTCAGAGTTAAAGTGCTGGTGCTTTCCGAGAGCTTAATTGTATTTAAAAATAAATGAAATTCTGATGACTTACATCTTTACCTCCCCCAAACCTTCCTCTAATGTAAATGCTATTTCATATGAAACTCCTTAAGCAGAACTTGACATCTTTTAAAATCATTCACTATCATAACATAATGTAATCGGCAAATGTTTTTCACTTCATTTGAAATGTCTCTGTGGATGAACACAGATCCTATTGATAGCAGCCATCAAATGCCTTACTATCATTGCATAATGAAGCTAATATCACTATGAAATAAGATAATGAGCTCTCAAAATCCATGGAGCTCCCCAAAACTTTTTGACAGATCAAAACAAAACTTTGAGTAAAAATAGTGATACAGAAATGTCTCTTAACCATTTTGTATTTAGGCAGATTATCTGATATATATTCTTGAAACTACCTTGTCTGTTAAAAATATATAAACATAATATACTAATATATAAATATAATTTTCTTAAGCAGACAAAAATATATGTTTATATAAATATATATATTTTAAGCAGACAAGGTAGTTTCAAGAAGAACCTTAAATATTTGTAAGTAGTTTATTGCAAATGATTATAATTGAAATTCTAAATTATTTATAATGCAGAGATATCTAAAAATAATACTATGATTTAAGTACTTGAGATGATTTTTATTTTTAAAATGATTACCATTTGCCAAAAAAAGAAAATAGAATGTTCTAATTAAAAATGAGTTATTTTCCCTTTCTAGACACACTTTAAACAAACCATTTAATTAAGTTCACTCTTGATTGTCTGGGTGCTGGTTACACAGTTTGTAGATCATTCAGGCCCTCTGTTTCTCTTCTTTCTCTGGCTACTGTCTACCTTCTGTTCATATCAGAGCTCTGCAGCATCCTAATGGGGTTGGATGATAGAGGGGGAGCAATGGAAGAAGCAAGTTAGATGAGTCAATGTTTTTCTTATTAACATTAGGAAAATGTTTTGCCCAAAAGCTGTTAGTTAAAATCAGGCTTTCAATGTACTGTTGATTTTAATTTATGGTATGTGTGTTTCTCATTAACTTGGGGGAATCCTAAACTTAATTGAAAATAAAGGCAGCATGATATAGTGAAAAGCTTTGAAATCAGTCACAGTGGGGTCCAAATTCTACCTTTGTTCTTGCTTAACCATATGACTTTGGCAAGACGTATTTCTTCATCAGTTCAAGGAGGGTGAAATATCTGTTTGGCAGTTATGAGAATTAATTATTTATGTTAAAAATCTAATAGAACATATTTATAATTTTCACCTGAGTGTGTTTTATAGTTTACTAGAACATATTTAATATCAAAAGCCAATTCCTCAGTTTCCAAAGTTTTGATGCATAAATGTAATAACTCATTACTAACATAATTTTATGACGCTGACAATCCCAGCTCATAGAAAAACACTTGCCACTTTTATTCAATGTGTAGGTGATTTCCATCAGAATTAGCAGATAAACCTTAATGCTGAGAGGGTTAAAAGTGGAAAGCCTAGAGATGCAAGTTCTTTTTCAGGTTGTGTTCACTATCAAATAGTCATGTATTAAAAGACCTCATCTTATGTACTTTATGGACTAGATGTGATCTTGAAATTGCTTATAAATAAAATTATTTTTAAAAATAATATTTAAATATATTAGAAATCCCTGATGTTAAAAGAAATTAAACAGAAACTTCTGATGGGTGGTTCCTAATAGGTATTTGTATTTATTCAAGATAGTTATCAATCATGTCATAAAGATGATGCCTCTTCTCATTCCTGCCTGACCCTGTTTCCTGGGACTCTTATGTGAGCCTGGAACAAAAGCAGTTTTTTAAATCAATTCATACTCAGGTATAGTCACTTTGAGAATACATCTCTGGAAAAATTGTTTATCAAGTGTTTTATGGTTTATTTAATGTTATTTATTTAAAGACATTCAGAGAACACAGGGGTTAGTACATTTAATAATGAAACAATTGTATTAGCTAGTGTTGAACTGTCAAATGGAGTTGAACCACGGATCAGACGGAAGGTAGTATTGACTTGGAGAATTCAGCTGCAAAAGAAGGTTGTTATACCATCTATTGTCAACAACAGAGGAACATTTATTGTACTTTCCAGATAAGGAATTGAGATGCATAAAGATGAAGAAAAGTCAACAAAGCAATTAAGTATGGTTGAAGGACCTTTTAAAAGTCAGACTTTCATTTTCTCAAATTTCTGTACTTCCACACATTTTAATTGAAAACAAAGCAAACATGTTTTGTCATTTTTGATCGTGATCAGCAGAGCACATAATAAAGGATTAGCTTAATTATTAATCATTGTAGTGAGTGTCATTCATAATAAATGCACTTTCATTAATAAATTAAGGCTGCGTGTTTTTCCCATTTTATCCTGTATTTTTCAGGTTACCCCAAATCACTCAAATCACAGCTAACTTGCTCTTTGACCAGCTTATTAATTGTCTCTTACAGAGGTTCCCAGGTTTTAGTTGTCACGATAAGAAGTCATAATGAATCTGAAGACTCACTAATTATTATTCTACAGCAGGTCCTGCAATAAGTTGTTTCATTCAGTATTTTTTCATTATAACATTGTAGAGAAAAAGTAAATTGATTCCTGGCTGGGGCCATTGTCTTCTTGGAGTTTGCACATTTGCATGTTACCCAACCCCTGGCTACATGAGTTTTCTCCAAGTACTCTGGTTTCCCTCCACAGCCCAAAGCTGTGCCCATTGAGTGAATGGGCATGTCTGCACAGTCTCAGTCTGAGTGAGTGTGAGTGCACCCTGTGATGGGATAAGATGGTGCATGTCCAGGGCTGGTTCCCACCTTGCCCCCAGAGCTGTGAGGAGAGACTCTTGCCATCTGCCACCCTTAACTGGAATAAGCAATTTGGAAAATGAATGAATGAATGAATACAAATGATTGTAAAACAAAAATTTATAACATACAATAATTATACAAATAAACAACGCAGTATGAAAGCACTCGGCGAGCCTACATATGTGTGTTATTGATTGTCTTTGAACTGTGTGGTGGTAGGAGGTGTTCCTGACAATTGTCAAACTGCAAACATTTGTTCACTGATTTCAGCCACCACCACTGTGACTGTTGTCACTCACTCATCCACCAAAAATTGGATAAATAATTGTCTTCCTTGTCTGTATTAATCTTTCTTAAATGTATATATAGCTCACATTCAGTGTTTAATATTAGAAGTGTTTCGGTTCTTTATTTAGATGTTTGGTGATGTTTTTGTGACCATAAACATACCATAGCAACTTAACTCTTGTTTATATAATAACTAGCCTATAGTAAAATTGGTTTTGTTACACAGCATTTTGCTTAAAGTCACAGTTACCAAGAATCTACTGATGACATTGAGGACTTACTGTTAAGTGCATATTGGACAAAACTGTACATGTAATGAAAGATTATATATCACAGTCTATTAATTCAAAGGTGGGAGAGTATATCCTGAACATGGTCAGGCAGAAATACCAGTGAGTAGGGTCTGTGGAGAGAGACAAAAAATAGAGACAGAGCAAAAAGGGAGGTGAGATTGTGCTAGTATTTAGCTACTTCTGACTTTTGACCTTCAGACTAGAGCTATTTCTTAAGTGAACATGTAAGTTAATAAAGAAAATGCACTTAAAGATTGATGTTTACACAAAGACTACTAAAGAAGTGGAAAAGCAACCTAAAGAAAACGAATTTCAGGAGAGTCAAGTGTAATAATTTAAATATATTATTGGAAAATGTCATGCAAGTGGAAGGACCATGAAAATTAGATTATTTCTTAAAGCAACAATATTTATAAGGATGGCAAGATTGAAGAGAACAGGATGAAACCCAGGTAGCTACACAGAGCTGCACATTTAAAATGCCCAAGAGTGAAGATTAGGAATTAGAGTAAGTATTAAACCAGAAATAAGGCATATCAATGATGGCATAAAAAGATGAAACCAGGAAATATATGGTGACTGGAAGGTAAAATACACTAAGGGACAGAATATTCTTTATGTATGTGTGAGAAGAAAACAAGACTGAGAAAACACATCCTCTTTATTAGATGCAAAGGAAAAGAGGATTGGTTCTAAACTAAAAACAAAATTCAGTTGTCTTTAAAGAAAATTTTGCCTTCATAGTAAAATATAGTCTCTCATTTAGAAAATGGAATAGGAAACCATGTGGCTGAAGGACAGGGAAACAAATTAGACTTGGCAGGGAATTGATCAAAGATCATTTAAATAAACAGGTCTTGATGACTTTCACATTAAAATGCCAATTATTGATGATTCGGGCTTTCAGGTGCTAAAAATAACACCTTTTTGATACAGTAGAAAACTATACTTGGTGATTTTTAGATCACTCTGAGCTGTTCATGCCTGCTTCATTATGCTGTGTGTCAAAGGACACAAAATGAAAGTTTATTTTTTATTATGAGAGTAGCTCATGATCATTTTTTTAATGCCTTCATTTTTGTAGCATTTTTCATTTTTCTTTATAGCCATAATAGTGTGACCTCCCATTTCCTGTTTTGGGAGAAAATGTTTACCTCATATTAAAGTGACAAGCATTCACAATAAGAAGTATAGATTTCTCTCAAGTGAGAAAAGCCAAGTTGTTTGTCCCAAAGCTGCCAGTGACTCAGGGCGTTAGAGGAGAGTAAACCAAAAGATAAATTCATGATGCACTACTCGCTTAGTTTTAAAAAGTAAACATTTTATTTGGATCAATTAAAGAAAATATTATTCATAGTTAAAAAAATTTACACAATCGTCTCCTATAATGGCAGTTGAAAATTTTATGTCCATGATAGAAATATAAGGCACAGCTTTCTATTTTACAACCAAAGGATTTGAAGAACCTGGAATGAAGAACTACAACAGTCATTTATTAGCAACTGAATAATGACTGTATTTGGAATTTAATATATATTTTTTCTTAAGATATCTGAGGTTGGCTCAATTAATTCTATAGGGAATAAGATGTTATCTGAAGACAATTAGTTATGTGAAGACAACCAGTTTTACTTGCAGTGAAATTGCTAGTGTTAGTATTATGGCTTCTTCGTTCCCATAGTCTGGTGAGCGGGAGGAAGGGTTACAACTCTTTTATTCCTACCATCTGCAGCTCAGTGAATGAGTGGGTTACAGCTCTTTTGTTCCTGCTACCCGCAGCTTGGCAAACAGTAGTGTTACAACTCTTTTGTTCCTGCCGTCTGCAGCTTGGCGAGTTACAGGTTCTTGTCCTGCAACAAGAGAAATAAGGTGTGGGGACACTGAGAATAAGGTAGAGAAGAATTTTATTGAGTGATGCAGGAAAGCTCTCAGTGGCAAGAGGGAACCCTGAAAGTGGGTAGCCCTCTGTGAGGCTGAGTCTGGGCTTTTTATGGGCTTAGAATGGGGGAGTGTGTACTAATTGGTCCACGGGTGATCTTGGAAAAAGCACCATTCGATTGCTTAAAAGGCATCATCCAGAAGGAACCAACTGAAAGAGAGTGGGTAAGACAGGGATCGAAGTTCTCACTCTGGTAGTGGACTCTACTGGAAACTGGCAGCTTGGTTTTCAGGCTTTAGAATGTCTTTGGTTTGAAGGTTGGGCTTCACCAGAGACCTGTCCCTGTCTGCCTAGGAATTTGTCTGTCTCTTTTCACTATCAGTAGAATATTGATAGAATGTTTACAGTTTTAAAAAATAGTTAAACAGAGATAGATTTCCAGTTAAGGTCTACATTTTACCACAGAGCTCAAGAGGAAGATCTACACCTATTTTTAAAATGGTTCTTATATCATTTTTATGACAGCACATCAAGCAATAATGGCATTGGAAATGAGACTGGATTCCTGTCCCAGTGGGTCCCCTGTGACTTTGAGCAGGATGCCTCAATTTTCTGGTTCCTGGGTTACCCTAGAATAGATGTCCATGAAGGACCCTCTTGGGCACTCTGATTATATGCTGTATTTTGAATATGAAGAAAGTTTTTGATAAAGAACCTAAGTAAAAGATCTAAATACACTAAACTACATTCCTGCATATAATGTATAACATAATATATAATGTGAAAAAACATGTCTATATTATTAGGGGGAACTTGAGTGAGGACATGCGGACAGCAAATCTATTACTTTTCCTTTTGTCATGTAGGTTGTTTGAAGACATTTCTAAGGAGATGCTTCATAGGCCCATCAATAGGAAATTGGTTGTGGGACATCCATGTGACATAATGGTACCCAGTCCACTAAATAAAGACTTCCTGGATACAGGCTGGGCATGGTGGCTTATGCCTATAATCCCAGCACTTTGGGAGCCCAAGGTGGGCAGATCACCTGAGGTCAGGAGTTTGAGATCAGCCTGGCGAACATGGTGAAACCCCAACCCTACTAAAAATACAAAAATTAGCTGGGGGTGGTAACGTACACCTGTAATCATAGCTACTTGGGAAGCTGAGGCTGGAGAATCACTTGAACCTGGGAGGCAGAGGTTGCAGTGAGCTGAGATTGTACCACTGCACTCCAGCCCGGGTGACAGAGCAAGACTGTGTCTTAAAAAAAAAAAAAAAAAAGACTATCTGGATACAAAAATAGTACAAGCAATACAAGTTCCATTAAAAAAGAAAAATCATACCATGATGTCTAAATGGATAAATGCATTGTCAATAGTGGTTATCCTCTGGTGAAGAGATTATAGTTGACTGTTTTTCTGTGTCTCCATATGGCACCCTCTCCCCTGGGTGCCTCTCTCTTCTTATGAGGATACCTCTCATAGTGGATTAAAGGCCTAATTCAGCATAACCTTGTTTTAACTATTGACATCTGCAAATCCACCTTATTTCTAAGTAAGGTTGCATTCCGAGATACTAGAGGTGAAGACTTCAACACATTTTTTGGGGTGGGGGACACAAATCACCCCATAGTGATCCCCGTATTTCAAATTTATCCAATAATTTGTGTTGAAAAGAATCTGCTCATGAATATTTTCTTTTCTGTGTCTCAAGATATAAAGTAATGTTGAATCTTCCTTTTCCCCTGTACCCAGGGAGTCACACATTATTGAGATTTTCTGGGATACAACATTTCTCAAATGTCCCCTTTGCTATTATTGCCACTCCCTACTTGAGACTGTTTCTAGTTGAGATATTAAAGTGTATTTCCAATTGGCCCCTTTCCTCTTTTTTTAAATACTTCCTATCAGTAGTCTGTTTTATATGCTTCTATACGATTCCCTATGCAATCCATTCCATTTCTAAGGTGCATTTCTGATCTTATTGTTCCCTTTCTCTAAAACCTCCAATGGCTTCTCTGAATGAAATTTCTAAAGCTTACTTCTTTCTTTGGCAGTCAAGGTCATCCATGACTTGACTCTTTTCTTTTTATCCAGTCTTAGTTCTCACAATTATCATACACAAATTCTGTGCTCTAATGTAGCCCAGCTGCTTATGATTTTCCAGAAAAGCTGTACACTTTTCTGTATCCTTAGTTTAATGCATGCTGGTTGCATTCATTGAAATGCCTCCCCGTTTCCCCTTCGCACCTATTACATTAGCAGCCACTCTTCAGTGTCACCTGAAATACCATCTCCTACCAGAGCTTTCACCAGTTCCTTCATTTAGATGCTCTCTCACCTTTATTTGAACTCCCAGGTGCACACCTGAGCATGTGGACACACATGCCTACACCTCCAACCCCTAAATTGTAAAGCCCTTGAAGGCAGCGTGTGTGTCTTGTCCATCTTAACATTCCCCACAGTGGCCTAGGATGCTGCCTTGAATCTGTGAGCCCTCATTACAGGCATTGAGTTGTTACTGATTAGAGCGCACAAGAGAGTGATGTAGAGTTCAGAAGCACGAGCTCAGTCCACAGGAATCAGAGTGCAGATAACTGAATATGAGAAACAGCCTGTTAAATTTGTGCAATGCTGGGGATATTTTCTGGGGGAAGAATTATGCAGCTGCTATAGGGAATGACACCTTGGTGTCTCTTCTCCCTCTGTGCCAGGCTTCTTTTACTTATTCTGCCCCATTCCATCCTCGCTATATGAAAGGTTAGATTGTTGCTCCTTTGAAAATGGTTAGATGTGACCATTGGATTAATTTCCAGGACACACAGTTTATCTGAATCAAGCTCAAGTTCTGTATGCAAATATCACAAAAGTGAGCAAAGTATTTAACTTGAGAATTTTATATTATCTTCCTAAATGTCATTTCTTCTGTTAAAACTACCAGTATGAAAAATTATGTTTCAAATTAAAGTACATAGGCTAAACTTCAAAAATGTAATCAGTGATGTCAGCCTTTATTAATGGAGGTATCAGTTGAGGAATTTCCAGTCAGAATATATACTAAATCCACTTGCTAAAATGTCATTTTCTAAATTTCTTGAAATCAGTATTAGTATGCAGTGCATTAATACAAGGCCAGATGCTTAGCGATGAGGGACACAGGCCCTGGGTTTTTATTCTGTCCCGTTGCTAGCTTTGCCCAGGTGGTTAGCCATTATAGATGCATGTTTTCTCAGTTGTAATGTGGGAAAGCTAATACCTATCTGAGAGGTTTGTTGTGAGAATAAAATGAGATTTTAAAAATTATTATTATACTTTAAGTTCTGGGGTACATGTGCAGAACGTGCGAGTTTGTTACATGGGTGTACACATGCCAGGGTGGTTTGCTGCATCCATCACCCCGTCACCTACATTAGGTATTTCTCCTAATGCTATCCCTCCCCTATGCCCCCACCCCCTGCCATCTCTCCCCTAGCCTCCCATCCCCCGACTGGTGCCAGTGTGTGGTGTTCCCCTCCCTGTGTCTATATGTTCTCATTGTTCAACTCCCACTTATGAGTGAGAACATGCAGTGTTTGGTTTTCTGTTCTTGTGTTAGTTGGCTGAGAATAATGGTTTCCAACTTTATCCAGGTCCCTGCAAAGGACATGAACTCATCCTTTTTTATTGCTGCATATTATTCCATGGTGTATATGTGCCACATTTTCTTTATCCAGTCTATCTTTGATGGGCATTTGGGTTGGTTCCAGGTCTTTGCTTTTGTGAACAGTGCTGCAATAAATATACGTGTAACATGTGCCTTTATAGTAGAATGATTTATAATCCTTTGGGTATATACCCAGTAATGGGATTGCTGGGTCAAATGGTATTTCTAGTTCTAGATACTTGAGGAATTGCCACACTGTCTTCCACAATGGTTGAACTAATTTACACTCCCACCAGCAGTGTAAAAGCATTGCCATTTCCTTCACATCCTCTCCAGCATCTGTTGTCTCCTGGTTTTTTAATGATTGCCATTCTAACTGGTGTGAGATAGCATCAAAATGAGATATTTTGTATAAAACATTTAGTACAGTATCTGGCACTTAGTGATTTTTCAGTGAAATGAGGTGATTAATAATGTTAATATTGTTAATATTAATAATATTGTTAATATTAAGTAATATCACATAATTTGAGATTTAGTGGAAGCATCAGTTTTAGAGTGGCAGACTCATCAGTTTTACTTGCATTCATCGAACTGTTTCAACAGTGCTTTAAAAGGTCAAGGGAGAGATAGGGAATAAGATAATTAATTAATCTTTAATTGGCTGGCATGCGGTATTTAAATAAAGCTTTTAATTTCAAAAGATAACTGTAATTATAACAGATAGGTAAGTTTCAGGAAAAGTGAAGACTTTTAAAGCCTCCAAATTGTCCCTCAATTAATGTCAGAACTTAATGGTGAAGTGCTTCTATAATATTTTAATTTTCATCTATTAATGATGGTGATTTCACTATTCAGCTTAGTGTAATATCAGTAAAATGTCAAGAATCACTCTAATATTCTTACTCTTAGTATTAAATGATTTTATAAGTAAAAGAGATGGCCTCTTACAAATCAATAAAAAAGCAGCTTTAATAGATGAACAGATAAATATAATGAATAGATGACTCACAAAGGAAAAGTGTAAAATCAGCATGAGAAATAACCATTCTCTGTAATAAAGGAAGCATTTTTTTCTTTCTAGCCTATTATAATAGGAAAGCTTTTTAACATAGAGTCAGGATCTAGTAATGTTGATTACTCACCTAGAATATTGGTGGCAGTGAAATTTGTGCAATACTTTTAGAGACAGTTTGGGAATATGTATCAAGAACAACATAAATATTTATGCTTGCAGACCCCCAATTCTATCTTTGGAAATTAAACCTAAGAGAATAATATAAATGTAGAAACGTGTATTTGCAATGAAGTGTACATCACAATGTTATTTAAAATTATGAAGATCAGATAGAAGCAGTATTAATGCTCACCACTATGGAAATGATTAAGTTAATCATTCAGTTATATATTGTTCAGTTAACACACATGTATTACAATAATGTACGACCATGTACCAACTTGACAAATGCTTATAGTTGTGTTGAGAAATACAATATAACATTATATGTATGCCATAATTAAAGTTTTATAAAAATATGCATGGAAAAAGCCTTAAAAGCCTAAATAATAGTAGTGATTACCTAAGAGAGGTGGTGTCATGATTTTATTTCCTCTTTCTACATTCTTTAAAATTTTTTTGCTATAGTTTTACAACAAAATTCTACATAAAATAACAAAAAAGTAATTATTTTCTCATTGAGATTTACTTTTGGGCAAATATATTCTTGCCTTGTGGACAAATTTATCTTGGCCTCTAGGGCAAAAGCTGAATGCTTAAATAGGTGTTAATTAGCCCTAGATTCAGCACTAGGGTAGGAGTAAGACATCAGAGGTTAATACAAGTTTTGATTGGGATAATTTATACAATGAAAATTCATGTCCATGCTATTCTGGTGAGTTTTCCCTAAAAAAAGGTTAAAGATTTTTTTTTCAAAAAAGACTAAGAATGGCAGGCATTTTAAATAATGAAAACCTGATAATAGAAACAATATTTCAGTATATACCAAGCACTCCCAGCTCTCATGGCCAACATCTTAAGCACAATTAGTTTATCTTGATCTGCAATTTATCATACTGCTTTTCTGTCAAAGCATATGAAATTTTGGATTGCATTTAATTTTCCAAAAATTTTTCTCTGAGTAAATAGGAAGGAATCATAAACATGTGACATTGTTTGGTAAATAAGTCACAGAGTTAGGAAACATTTTTTGAAAGCTCATTTAAGACCTTCTTTTAGCCAAACCCAAAGGTCACTTTTTCAGTGACTTTTGAGTCTGAGGCAGGTGATTTCTCCTACTTTGAAACATGCTCTCCCTTTAGCTTCAAGGAAGCTACACCTTCATGATTTTCATTGTCTTTCTCTCTTCTCACAATATAGTCATCTAACAATCTATAAAATATCTAGCTAATATCTGTTGAGTTTTACCATGTAGTTGGGATAATTTTAAGCACTTTACAGGTATTAATTCAGTAAAGAGTCATAGAAGCCCTTTGAAAAAGATAGAGTAATTGTCCCCGTTCTATAGGTGAGTAAACTGAGACACAACATAAAGGCAGACTCACTCAAGTCCTTTAGTAAATGGCGGACCTGGGACTGAAACTCAGCAGTCTGATTTCCTAGCTTAGGTGGTTTACCGTGGCATCCTCCTGCTTCCTACAGTGCAAATAAGAAACACTGAGAATACTGAAAACTCAGATGTGGTTTAGTGTGGGAAGGCATTTCTAGGAGAAATTCAGAGAGTGAAAGGTACGCAGCTGTATGATTAGGTGGCATGATCAAAGGATATGTTTTAGAACACCTATAAGGCTAACAGTATACCACCAAATTGCCACCACGTTTCCGAATGGTAGAGCTGAGTTTCTGGTGATATTCTTAGGCAAGATCCTGCTGACTTAGGGCAGTGTCGGCCACCATGACAGTCAAAGAATGCAGCAGGGTTGATTTTGAGGACGTGGGCTTTCTGTGGGGAACAGGATTGGTTCATCAGCTCCCCTAACTTTGAGACTTTGGGTTTATTTCTTGACTTCAGATCCTGAGTTTTGTTTCCTTCTCTGTAAGGATATTACTGCCCCATTCACCACTCATTAAATAACTTGATAAATCATACTGGCTATTCATAGCTTATTCAGTAATTACATTAGAAAATATATTAAGAGCTTATAGCACAGTGTCTGGCATAAATGCAGGCAGAGTATAGGATTGACATTGTCTTATGGGAATAATGGTGCCTGGCTAAGAACCACATGTCATGAGCTGAGGGAGCACCTTCAGACTGTTCAGTTTTTACCTCAGAAAATTGTTTCAGGTTGCTCCAGCATGTGGCAGGGGCTTGCATTTATCATCTGGGTGACCTTGGGCAATCACCAAACCTCTCTGAACTTCCATTTATTGATCTGTTAAACAAGGATAATGACATTTACCCTGCAGGGCTCTGATGAGCATTGAAGTCAGATAATAAGGTCTTTAATCGCTAACCTACTTTCTTATTACGTTAGTATTTGATGCCATTTAGTAAATATTACCTTTGGAAATGTCTTTGGCTCTGGTTTCTCCAGTTTTCACTTTTATTGCCATCTTCTTTGGAGCTTAGCTGCTTCTTCCTGCCTTTCAATGGGATAATGAAATTACAGAGAGTTTAATTCCCCAAAGTTTAGAAATAAGGAGAGGCTCATCAAAGAAATTATATTCTGGAAAATAAGAAAGGATAAAAAGAATTTTATAAAACAAAATGTCAGCTGGCAGGAAGAGATATTTCCGTTGGTTTAGAACGAGGCAAACCTAAGTAGGAATAGACACAGCACTGACATTTCAGAAAGCAATGAAATATTTGCTCAGGGACCTGTGAGATAATTTGTCATTTTGGACTTTTAAAGGAGGAGTCAAGAAAGCAACAGTAAGCAGTTGGCTGACTTGGGAAACTGGTGTTCTCAAGAGAATCTCTTTTATTTGTTCAGTGCAGGTAACTTTCAGTGGATGAGAACTTTAAAGAGTTTTATTTTGTGAAAACACTTATTTTAGGAAGAAAAAAATAGTGTCATATTAATCACCTCGAGTTTTATTTTGTGGTCTTACATAATGAATGATTAGTGTGCAAGAGGACTCAAAAATGACTTAATATAAGCCTTATTTCTAATGATGATTCTATATAAACCTTACCAGACAGTTGGATTAGTTCAACAAAGCGGACGTCTTTGGAGACGCACTGTGAGCTAGGACGTCGTGGGGAATGCAAGACAGCCTCTTCCTTCAAGGAGTAATGAAGACAGAAACAGAAATGAAGTGGGGTGGGACTGTTCAAAGGTACCAGAGGTGCCGGGATGGTAAACGCTGCGTCACTGGCGTACACAAAGTGGTTTGGGAACATCGGGGAGGAAATGAGTATTCTTAGGAAGATGAAGAAAAGCCTCACAAAGTATGTGGCACTTGAGTGGACATCTGAAGGTTAAGAGCGATGTAAAGGAAGGGCACCATTGTATAAGGATATCAAAGCTGTGGGCCATGCTCGAGGGAGAACTGTGGTGTGGTTAGATGGGCCGCCTGGCTGCACAGGAGGAGTGCTAAGAGATGAGGCTGTAGAGGGAGTTGCAGGAAGGAGGTCAAAATGACTGGTGGTTTCTGCTGGGAGTTGGCATGGATCTAAATTGGGAACAAAAGGAAGTGGGTTTGAGGGAAGAAAAGCTAATTCGAAGTGAAGCATCCCAAGGTATATTGGAGAGAGAGGGAGAGAATAGAGGGAACAATAAGAAAAAAGTGGAAAACCCTTAGAAACAAGGGCCAAAGAAGGAACCTGCAAATAAGACAGAGAGAAGAGTGGCCTGGAAAACAGTCAGAGGTATGGAAGACAGCTGGTGAAGTTTACTATTAGTGAATCCCAGGGACAGTGTTGGGTCAGGGAAGAGACAACATTAAGGCAAGCTAGGGAGAGAACAAGAGGAGGAACTGAGAGCCCAGTAACCAGGAGGCTGTTGGTGACATTCCTGAGAGTGATTCTGGAGTGGAGAGAGCAAGAGCCAGGGTCCTTTGGGATGATGAGTGAGCAGGAGGTCTAGGGGTGAGGACACATAGGCAGAAAATGTCACTTAGTGAATCCTTTCAGCAGGGAAGAGAAGAGAAAGAAGGAAAGAGTTTAAGGAAGTGGTTGTGTGTTTGTATGTGTGTGATACAGGGGACCCCCTGAATATGTTTGTGTGCTGAGAGCTGAGAGCAAAGCCAGGAAGGAGGGAGCAGTTGAGGGTGCAGACAGAGGGGAAGGAGTTTCCAGAGGCAGTGACAGCGGTTGGCCGGATAAAGAGCACGAATGGGAGGGCGAGTTCCTCTAGAAGCAGGACATGTTTTTCCCTCCAAGACAGGAAGGAAAGACACAGGGATCAATGAAGGTGAAAAGGAGGAGAGTGAATCACAGGTGCGCCCTGGTTTCCAATCTCTTGCCCGAGGGAGCAGTGGTGAATAAAAATAGCATTTATTTTATTTTATTCTTTTTTTCCTTGGAGTTATTTAGTCTTGTTGTTTGCTTTTTAAAGGAAATAAAGATACGGTGCCAGTAACCCATTGCAGGTTTGCAGAAACCAGTCGTTATCCATAGCTGTTGCACATGCCAATCTGGAAATGATTTTCTTAAGGGAGAGGATTCTGGGTCACATTTTTCCAATGTGTCTCTCATATAATCAATATCAAGACGGTCTGAGATCAGAACTGGGGATGTATTTAAAGGGCTGACTAGTGTTTATGTCCTGCTGGTTACATTGTAATTTGTAATAATTATTTCAGCAGTCATTTACTAAATGTGTTATATAAAACAAAAATAAAATAATACATTGGTAAAAAAATCTGCAGATATTAATATCTAATGTTCATTGTATGAGGTCAAACCATTTGACCAGTTTTGATCTACAAAAAGGGAAGTTTCATGGAGTTCAAAATGATAATAAGGTTGGAAACATGGGAGATTCTGAGCAAGTGTATCCTTCCAGTGGACACCAATGAGGGGCAGTGTCTGCAGTGGGTAGGAGCCAGAACTGCAGCAGCAGAGAGGGCTGGGAACATGCCTCTGCTTGATCTGTTATTAGCTGCATGACTTTGGATGCATGACTTCATCTCTCTGAGCCCCAGTTCTCTTATTTGTTAAATGCAGTAATGATAGAATCTATTTCATAATATTTTTATGAGGATGAAATGAGATAATTTGTGTGGTTCTTAGCAATATGCTTGGCATGTAGTAAGCGCTCAATAAATAGCTAATAAAGTGAATAATAGCAATAATAACTTAAAATCCATTTAGCTATGTGAAGTTTTTGTAGAAGCATCTTAATAGAGGATGTTGTATGTAAGGAAAATGCTGAAAATGGTAGAAATTAGTATACACTAAATCCAGTTATGTTTATAGATTTCTTTTTCTTTTTTTTTTTTGAGGAAGAAAGAGAGAAAGAAAGAAAAAGAATAAAACAAAAAGATAAAGAAAAAAAAAAGAATAAAGGAAAGGAAGAAAGAGGAAGAGGAAGAGGGAGAGAGAACAGGGGTGTTGCTTTATTGCCCGGGCTAGAATGCAGTCTAAAAATGGGTATGCCTGTAATTGTGTTTAATAATAGAGACATAAAAAAAAATGAGGGAAGAAAATAATTAACAAGCAGCCAACCAATATTTCATTTAAACCTGTAAATACATGTGATGTAGTACTGATAAGAGTGTATATTTTGCGTATTTAAAGTGGAGAGTTCTATGAATGTTAATTAAGTCTACTTGTTCCGGATCTGAGTTCAAGTCCTGAATATTGATGTTAACTTCTGTCTCATTGATCTGTAAGTCTCCTACTATTATTGTGTGGGAGTCCAAGTCTCTTTATAAGTCTTATATATCTGGGTATTTCTGTATTGGGTGCATATATATTTAGGATCTTTAGCTCTTCTTGTTACATTGATCCTTTTATCTTTATGTAATATCCTTCTTTGCTTCTTTTGATCTTTGTTGCTTTGAAGTCTATTTTATCAGCAAAAATTGCAACTCCTGCTTTCTATTTACTTATTTTTGCTCTCCATTTGGTTGGTAAATTTTTCTCCATCCCTTTGTTTTGAGTCTTTGTGTATCCTTGCATGTGAGATGGATCTGGATGTAGCATACCAATGGGTCTTGGCTTTTTTTGCCTGTCTGTGTCTTTGGATTGGGGGATTTAGTAATTAATAACAATATATGTGAGTTTGATACTGTCATTTAATGTTAGCTGGCTGTTTTGCCCATTAGTTGATGCAATTTCTTAATTATGTTGATGTTCTTTATTTTTTGGCATTTTTTAGAAAAGCTGATACTGGTTGTTCCTTTCTATTTGTAGTGGTTCTTTCAGAAGCTCTTGTAAAGCAGGCCTGGTGGTGATGAAATCTCTGAGTGCTTGCTTGTTCACAAAAGATTTTATTTTTCCTTTGCTTATGAAGCTTAGTTTGGCTGGATGTAAAATTCTGGATTGAAAGTTCTTTTCTTTAAGGATGTTGAATATTGGCCCCCACTCTCTTCTGTCTTGTAGGGTTTCTGCTGGGAGATCTGCTGTGAGTCTGATGGGCTTCCCTTTATGGGTGACCTGACCTTTCTCTCTGGCTGCCCTCAGTATTTTCTCTTTCATTTCAACCCTGGTGACTCTGGCGATTATGTGCCTTGAGGTTGGTCTTCTTGAGGAATATCTTTGTGGTGTTCTCTGTATTACCTGGAGTTGAATATTGTCCTGCCTTGCTAGGTTGGGAAAGTTTTCCTGAATAATATCCTGAAGCGTATTTTCCAGCTTGGATCGATTCTCTTCGTCACATTCAGGTACACCTATCAAACGTAGATTAGGTCTTTTCACATAGTCCCATATTTCTTGGAGACTTTGCTCGTTCTTTTTTATCCTTTTTTCTCTAATCTTGTCTTTTTGTTTTATTTCATGAAGTTGGTCTTTGACCTCTGATATCTTTTCTTTTGCTTGATCAATTTGGCTGTTAAAACTTGTGCATAGTTTGCGAAGTTCTCGTGTTGTATTTTTCAGCTCCATTAATTCACTTATATTCCTCTCTAAATAGTATGTTATTTTTAACATTTCATCAAACCTTTTTTCAAAGTTCTTAGTTTCTTTGCATTGGGTTAAAACAAGTTCTTTTAATTCCCAGAAGTTTCTTATCATCCACTTTTTAAAGCCTGCTTCTGCTAATGGAACACAGTCTTTCTCCATCAGGCCTTGTTCTGTTGCTGATGAGGAACTGTGATCCCCTGTAGAGGGAGAGGCATTCTGATTTTGGGTATTCTCAACCTTTTTAGGCTGGTTTCTTCCTTTCGTTATAAATTTATCCATCTGTGGTCTTTATAATTGCCGTCTTTATAGTTGGGTTTCTGAATGGACGTCCAACTTGTTGATTCCCGGCGCTAGAATCTGAGCAACCCACTGCGCCGGCCAAAACAGCGGCTTTAAGATTGATGGTGCTTTTCTGACTCTGCACCAAGAACCGCTGCTCCAAGACAGCGGCAAAACCGCCTCACCGGCCTCAAGAGTCGCGCTGGCAACACGTGGGGCTCCTCCGCTGAGAATCTCCTGGTGCGTGAGCAACAAAAATTGATCTGAAAGTGTAGCGTCCTCTTGTTCTCTGCTCTTTCAGTGGGAGCTGCAATCCCGAGCTGCTAGTGATCAGCCATCTTGGATCTCTCTCCATGTTTATACATTTCTAAAGTCTTTCTGAAGAGGTTGACTTAATATGGGTTCCCTGGGCACCTAGAAAATATTATGCTGTTCTGATCAGTGTGTGAATGAATGCTTTGTTTATACTTAATTAGTTATATTCTAGAAGCTCTCTGAATTGAGTGAAGGGGTGAAACACAACTCTGTGGATGTTTAAAGGTCAGTTTTATTCATTATGCTATAGTAAGGGTTATTTCCTTTAGGTAAAGGGATCCAAGTTGCCCCGTTCTTATATTCCTGACTGTGGCTGCTACATACTATGTAGGAGTGTCTAGAGAGGTAGTGATTGAGTTTAAGAAGAACTGAATGCCACTCCCAAGTTCCTGTCTCGTGACCCCGAGTTCATTTAGCTTCCATTTACTCTGGTTTACCTCTTAGAAAATGAGAATAACAACAGCTTCCCTTATAGCTTGGGGCTATTCTGAAAACAAATGAGAGAAAATGTGATATTTAAGCATTTATTTGGTCAACATACTATTATTTATTTTCTGCTCCTAGAGGATATATAATCTGATGGGGCAGATGGATGCACAGGTACACTGCAGGAAGGTAAATGCAGTGAAAGACGCTTGCGGGCATCTGGTAGAACCCACAGGTCTTAGATGGCCCTGGGGCCTTCTCACACAGGGAGGCGGTATTTGAGGCTGTTACAGGCTCAAAATGTCAAGGGCTAATTTCTGTTTGTTATAATCTATAGCGATAATACAAAATCCTGCTTTGGCTCTCTACTTCCTTAATGTTTAATTCCTTAATTCTTTGGATTTAATTTTATAAATACATATTTGCTAAATAGAATTTCTAGGCATTGGCTCAAGTTTCATCTCTTTTAAAAAAGTTGTCGAGTGCCTTTATATGCTGAGCGTTGTGCTAGGTTCTGCTTGAAATATGGCAAGAAATCATAGATAACTTTTGCCGTTAAGATGTTATGACCTAGTTGAAGATTCTAATGCATTAAGGCAGAATGAGGTAAGTACAGAGATATGGGACCTTACAGAGGCCAAGTTAAAGAAATGTCTATAACATGTTGAAAGTTTCATAGGAGAGATAGTAGGATCTTATCTGGATCTTGGCAAGTAAATGGGACGTGGAAGTGAAATGAGTAGTGCCAGCGAAGGCGGGAAATGTGAAATTGCATAGA